ATATGCTTCAATGTAAACACTTGATCTACACATCCCCTACCCACTTCAAAATCTCCTTGCTCATCTGCAGTCCTACATTCTGTCCTACCTCTAATTCTTTCAGTTATAACCCTACCATACACTTTTCCTGGTATATTCAGTAAACTTATTTTCTATAATTTTTACAATCTCTTCTGTCCCCCTTCCCTTTATATAAAGGGACTATACATGCTCTCTGCCAATCTCTAGATACCCTCCCCTCTTTCATACATTTATTAAACAAAAATACCAACCCCTACAACACTATATCCCCCCCCTGCTTTTAACATTTCTGTCATGATCCCGTTAGTTCCAGCTGCTTTACCCCCTTTCATTCTATGTAATGCCTCACACACCTCCCCCACACTCACATCTTGTTCTTCACTCCTAAAAGATGGTATACCTCCCTGTCCAGTACATGAAATTACCGCCTCCCTTTCTTCGTCAACATTTAAACGTTCCTCAAAATATTCTCGCCATTTACCCAAAACCTCCATCTCCCCATCTACTAACTCCCCTACTCTGTTTTTAACTGACAAATCCATTCGTTCCCTAGGCTTTCTTAACTTTCTTAGCTTTCTTAACCGTAAATATCATTCAAAAATACACCTGAAAGTTGGTGTTTTGAACCAAAAACACAGTCAGAGTTTTTTTGTTCTCGTTATGGACTGCGTGCTGCAGGATTTTTTTTTTCATAATGTGCACATTGACCACGCAGACCCATTCTCTCACATGTTGGTCTACCAGCTTTCTCCTGCTAGATTTGAAGCCACTAGAATTTTGGTGTATTAATACATCACCGACACTGGCTTTTAAGCCTTACCTGTATGTCACCAACAGTGAAAGGGTTAAGACTATACATACATGTATTTTAAGGTAAGTAATGAGTGTACTGTATGTGTATTTTATCGCTTTTGGCTGCTTTAAATATCATACCTACCCACACCTACCGCTACCTACAAATAAATACTATTCACCTTTCACCCTACATTAAGACTACAAATATTTTAATGTAAGTAATGAATGTACTGTGTATTTATTTTACATTTAATTGTTTTTAATGCCTAGTTATACTGTTATCTTAATATACTATATTAATAAAACTTTTATCTGGCATTTGTATGCATTTTTTTTTTTAACACATCAGCCGCCTCCCACCGAGGCAGGGTGACCCAAAAAGAAAGAAAAAACTTTCATCATTCAACACTTTCACCATCATTCATACATAATCTCTGTCTTTGCAGAGGCGCTCAGATAAAACAGTTTAGATATCCCTCCAAACTGTCAATATCGTAAACTCCTCCTTTAAAGTGCATGCGTTGTATTTCCCATGCATGCATTGTACTTCACACCCCAACTGCTCATCAGGTCACAAAAACCATTCGTCTCCATTCACTCCTATCTAACACGCTCACACACACTTGCTGGAAGTCCAAGCCCCTCCTCCATAAAACCTCCTTTACCCCCTCTCTCAAACCTTTTCAGGGACGACCCCTCTCCCGCCCTCCATCCCCAACAGATTTATATGGTCTTCAAGTCTTTCTACTTTGTTCCATTCTCTCTAAATGACCAGACCACCTCAACAGCCCCTCTTCAGCCCTCTGGCTAATACATTAAGTAACTTCACACCTCCTCCTAATTTCTACGTTACGAATTCTCTGCATAATATTTACACCACACATTGCCCTTAGACATGACATCTCCACTGCCTCCAGCCACCTCCTAGCTGTAGCATTTATAACCCATGCTTCAGACCCATATAAGAGTGTTGGTACCACTATACAGTGGACCCCCGCATAACGATGGCATCACATAGCGATTATTTCGCATACCGCTTACTTTAATTGCAAAAATTTTGCCTCACATACCGCTTAAAAACCCGCTTACCAATTTTCTTCCGAGACGCGCTCACATGTTCCGCCGGTGGCATTGTTTACCAGCCAGCCTCCACGGTAACATCCAAGCATACAATCGGAATATTTCGTATTATTACAGTGTTTTCGGTGCTTTTTCTGGAAAATAAGTGACCATGGGCCCCAAGAAAGCTTCTAGTGCCAACCCTACAGCAATAAGGGTGAGAATTACAATAGAGATGAAGAAAAAGATCATTGATAAGTATGAAAGTGGAGTGCATGTCTCCGAGCTGGCCAGGTTGTATAATAAACCCCAATCAACCATCGCTACTATTGGTGGTACAGCTGCTGCTGCTGCTGCACTGTCAGCTGCTGCTGCTGCTGCACTGTCAGCTGCTGCTGCTGCTGTAGCACCGTTGTTGGTGTGGCTTATTGAGAATACCAAGAAACAATTAACCCCAGAGGATTTGCCACCCAGGATAACCCAAAAAAGTCAGTGTCATCGAAGACTGTCTAACTTATTTCCATTGGGGTCCTTAATCTTATCTCCCAGGATGCAACCCACACAAGTCGACTAACACCCAGGTGAACAGGGAAAAATGCCTGGAACTAGTGCTCATATTGGTGAATTTAAAGCCAGCAAAGGTTGGTTTGAGAGATTTAAGAATCGTAGTGGCATACACAGTGTGATAAGGCCTGTTCTGGAAGAAAATGCCAAACAGGACCTACAGTACTCAGGAGGAAAAGGCACTCCCAGGACACAGTGTCTCATCAGTCATTGCTGCATCTTCAATAAAGGTAAGTGTCATTTATTCTTCATTTAGTAGACTAGTACATGCACAATATATACTGTGCATGTACTACTCTACTATTGTGCATGTATCCTTCTCTTTGTGTGTGGGAAAATGTATATTTCATGTGGTAAAATTTTTTTTTTCATACTTTTGGGTGTCTTGCACGGATTAATTTTATTTCCATTATTTCTTATGGGGAAAATTCATTCACATAACGATTATTTCGCATAACAATTACCCCTCTTGCACGGATTAAAATCGTTAACCGGGGGTCCACTGTACTCTCATACATTCCCTTCTTTTGCCTCCATGGATAACATTCTTTGTTTCCATGGATATCTCAATGCACCACTCACCTTTTTTTCTTCATCAGTTCTATGGCTTATCTCATCCTTCATAAACCCATCTGCTGACAAGTCAACTACCAAATATCTGAAAACATTCACCTCTTTCATACTCCCTCCCTCCAATGTGATATCCAAATTTTCTTTATCTAGATTGTTTGATACCCTCATCACCTTACTCTTATCTATATTCACTTTCAACTTTCTACCTTTACACACCCTCCCAAACTCATCCACTAGCCTTTGCAACTTTACTTTAGAATCCCCCAAAAGTAACTGTGTCAACTCTCATTTTGTATATGATTCCTCATAATTTAATCCCACCCCCTCTCCCCAACACCTTAACCCTTTGACTGTCGCGGCCGTATATATACGTTTGTGAGGTACCGTGTTTGACGTATATATACTCATAAATTCTAGCGGCTTCAAATCAGGCAGGAGAAAGCTAGTAGGCCCACATGTGAGAGAATGGGTCTGTGTGGTCAGTGTGCACCACATAAAAAAAATCCTGGAGCACGCAGTGCATAATGAGAAAAAAAAAACTCCGACCGTTTTTTTTAATTAAAATGCCGACTTTGTGGTCTATTTTCGTATAGTATTTGTGGTTGTATTCTCGTTTTCATGGTCTCATTTGATAGAATGGAAACTATATTATAGAAATGGAGGTGATTTTGATTAATTTTAATATAAAAAGAACCTGGAAATGGAGCACAAAGTACAGGAAATGTTTGATTTTTGCCGATGTTCAAAAGTAAACAAATGATGTCATTGTCCAATAAATGTCCAAATAGCCATTCTAATACGCAGTCATGAATGGGTTGATGTAATTTTTACAATTATTACAGTATTGCAGTAGTCTGCATAACAGTAAATCTTCTATTTTTTGTTTGAATAAAATTTCAAAATAAAAAGCAAGAGTAATATCACAGGGACCTGGAGACATGACTGATGAACAAAGAAAATCTTATTTTAGAGCCAGGAATGTCTGCATTGTTCATTCTGGACCTTATTTTGAAATTGTCGTATTTTTTAATTTTCGTGAAATTGGCCAAATTGCAAATTTCTGACCATGTTATTGGGTAGTTGAAATCGGTAAATGGGCAGTTTCTTGTGCTCAATCGATAGAAAAAATAGAGTTCTGAAGAAATAGTTATGAGTTTGGTTGACTGGAATAACGGAATTAGCCGAAAATAGGGCTCAAAGTGGGCGAAATTGCCGATTTTTAAATATCGCCGAAGTCGCTAACTTTGCGAGAGCGTAATTCCGTCAGTTTTCCATCAAATTTCGTTTTTTTGGTGTCTTTACAATCGGGAAAAGATTCTCTATCATTTCATAAGAAAAAATCATTTTTTTTTTTTTCGAATATTTTGCGACACCAGGAGCAACTTCAGGTTTGGGCCCTTCGACAGTCAAAGGGTTAATATTTACTTCTTTTACAATCCCATCTGTAAATATGTTAAGCAGCCATGATGACATGACACATCCCTGTCTAAGACCTACTTTTACTGAGAAGTAATCTCCCTCTCTCCTACACACCCTAACCTGAGCCTCACTATTCTCATTTATAAGTGGAAAAAATGGCGTTCTGCTTTCTGGCATGTCTGCTTTCCGGCAGTAGCCTTTTATTTTCTCTTCTTTTTCTTTTTTTTCTCTTTTTCCTTTTTTTTCTCTTTTTTTTCTTTCTCTTTTTCTCTCTTTTTTTGTATTCTTTTTCAGTTCTGTACCAAAATGTTTATTTATTGCAGAACTCCTTACAGCAGGTCTTTGAAGTGCAACCCTATAACTTATTCATACAGCAAATAATGAATCTGAAATTAATTTCCTCTTGTATTAGTAATCAGATCTTATTTTGCATTTACTTACTACCATCGAAGGTCATCACATATTGGTTAGAATATCATTAATTTATTATTCACTTTGTTAATTTAAAAGAATAAACTAATACGTGTACCTCAGTTGTGTGTTCTATAGCATGACAACTCATATTTCAGTGTTGCCAACACGACCAAAAGAGCCTGCTTGATCTGGCTGTCAGTGCTTCTGTTTGGTAACCCAGTCACAGTGTGGAGTGGTATAGGGACAGCTGTTGTGATTGGTGGAGTTCTGCTCTACAGTAAAGCTCGTGAAATTGATGCACGCAGAAGAGAACAGTTCTCCATTACTGAGGAAAAAATGAACAGTATTAGATAAAGAGTAGTGTCTATTTGTTTTAACTAATCATATTATTTATTGATATATCCTACTTATTATATTTTTATGAAAGTACTTCTTAAAGGAAATCCAAGATCTTCAAGGAAGAATGTTGCTTTCATATAATGTAGTAATTTATGTGCATTGGTCAATCTGCATTAAATTTCTTTGGGGGCTTATTAAAATGCTATTCATTTAAAAATAGTACTTAAATATAAATATAATTTGCATGATATATATTAAATTTTGTATGAAAATCTAATGAATTCTTTCAAAACTGTTATCCTCGGCAGTAATTTGTATGTTACAGAAGTGGAGGTCAAAGAAGACTGCACACTGATAATTTGGCTTACACTAGTTCTCTTGGATTAATTAAATTTTTATTAGCTTTGTTGAAGTGCTTTGCACCAACTGTTAAGTTTTTGAAGTAATTTATAAATGTTTTTAAAGCTTTGTTCTTTTGACACTGGGTAAGTACTGTTTATCTGTTTTGCTGTCCATTGTGTAGAACTACATCATTGAGGCCAGGGGTCCCTGATGTAGTTCTTCATCATGAGCTCAGCTTATTTAGATAACCTGTGAGTGGTAAATTTTGGTGTTGATATGAGAGTGGTTTTTGGGACCTGATGAGGTGTTGGGAGTGTGAACAGGGTAATATTTTGCGAAGGGATTCAGGGAAACCGGTTAGCCAGGCTTAAGTCCTGGAAATGGGAAGTACAGTGGACCCCCGGTTAACGAACTTTTTTCATTCCAGTAGTATGTTCAGGTGCCAGTACTGACCGAATTTTTTCCCATAAGGAATATTGTGAAGTAGATTAGTCCATTTCAGACCCCCAAACATACATGTACAAAAGCACTTACATAAATACACTTACATAATTAGTCGCATTTGGAGGGGATCGTTAAGCGGGGGTCCACTGTACAATGCCTGCACTTTAAAGGAGGGGTTTAGGATATTGATAGTTTGGAGGAACATCTAAACTGTCGTACCTGAACACCTCTGCAAAGACAGTGATTATGTATGAATGATGGTGAAAGTTTTTTCTTTCTTTTGGGGTTTATTCTTTCTTTTTAGGTCACCCTGCCTTGGTGGGAAGCGGCCAACGTGTTAAAAGAAAAAAAAAGAGACTGCGTCTATGCGGTGAGTGTGCACCATATATAAAAAAATCCTGCCCAATGTGGTGCATGATGGGAAAAAATAAATTTGACTGTGTGTGTGGTTTAAAATATCAGAATTGCAGTGGTTTTCTTGGATGGTTTTTATGGTTTTATTGGCTGTTTCTTGGTACCCTTTGATAGAATGGAAGACATTTTACTGAAATAGAGATGATGTTGATTGGTTTCAGAACTGGAAATAGCTTGAATTGAAGTCAAAGTAATGAAAATATTCTATTTTTGCTGATATTTCAAAGGATGGGAAAGGCAACTCCCCCTCCTTGTAACCCCCAGTCTGTTTTGTGTGTTTTTAATAGGATTGATTCAGTTATTGGGATGCTGTAAACCATGAACAGTCTTTCCTGGTTTTATTTTATTATTTTTTATGTGAATGAAAACTCAAAATTGGAAGCAAGTGTAATACAGGAGAGCCCTTGGGACATTACTAATGAACAGAGGAAATGTTTTAGTGCCAGGAATGTCTGCATTGTTTATTATGGACTCAATTTTTAAATTGGTATTGATTTTAATTTTGTGTGAAATTAATCAAATTAAATTCTGTTCACTATTGGGTAATTGAAATAGTTGAATGGGTGATTTCTTGTGCTCAGTTGATAGAATGGAAGGCATACTTGAGATATAGCTAAGAATTTGGTTGACGGGAACAATAGGACTGAAAGTGGGTGAAATTGCCGGTGTGTAAGTTAACTTTTCGCTAGCATAATTCCACGAGTTTTCCTTCAAATTTTGTACTTTTGGTGTCATTGTCTTCAGAAATAGATTCTCTATTTCAGTTTTTTAACATTGAGATCAAGTTTCATTTTGGGGGTGTGGACAGTGAAAGAGTTAAAATCATTGCTTTGAGATTCTTAATTAATCTCAGGGACTTTTTAATGTATTGATAATATATGCTATCAATAATATTTACTTTGATGTTTATAAGTTAACTTTCAGGGAATAATTTGTATGGTATAATGTCAATGTGACTACTTTGTATGATTGGAAATACACTTTGTGTGATCCACTTATGAAAGTTAAAATAATTACTTTCACATTCCATCTGAATGATGATTTGTTTTGTTAACTTTTCTGCATCTTTAATAAACAGAAAATTTCAAATTTAACAAATAAGGATGATAAACTATGGCATAAGTCAACTGGTGGAGAAAAAGACCCATATGGGTTTAATGCTTCTTGAAATACAACCATATGTGTAGGTGTCACCCTGCCTCGGTGGGAGACGACCGACTTGTTGAAAAAAAAAAAAAAAAAAGTGTAGGTGTCTTCTTGAGTGTGATGTCAGCTAGTGACTCATAAAATTTTTTTTATAAAACAATAATGTGCATTCATTACTTGTAACTGAAAATTATTCCAGCAGTCACATTTCAGTTAATTTTTTGTTTATTTATTTACTTTTTCCTAAATTGTAAATTTGTTCCACTTAAGGTTAAGAGGCCATATTGATATACAGTGGAACCTCGGTTTTCATGATTAATCCATTCGAAAAGTCTGATGAAAACCGAATCGTATCAAAACTGAAGCAATATTTCCCATAAATAATGTAAGTCCAATTAATCCATTCCAGACACCCAAAAATATTAACAAAAAATATATTTTATAGAGAATAACTATAGTTTTATATAAGAAAACAATGAAAAATTAATATAAATGACTAAAGAAATGGATAAATGAACATTTAACATCACTTTTACCTATATTGAAAACTCTTGTTGGGACAAGAACTTCACTGTGATTAAACTAAACTCCTCTAACAATTGGGCTTCCAAGCCTGGAGGATGAGCAGGAGCATTGTCCATTACCAGGAGGCACTTGAGTGGCAGTTGATTTTCCAGTTGGTATTTCTTCACACTCAGGCCAAACGCTTCATTGACCTACTCAATGAAAATTTGCCTCATGACCCTTGCCTTATTGTTAGCCTTCCACATCACATACAATTTACTCTTGATGACTTTGTTTTTCTTGAACACTCGGGGATTTTCAGAGTGATACACCAGTAGAGGCTTCACTTTGAAATCCCCACTAGCATTACCACAGAACAAAAGAGTTAGCCTATCCTTCATAGGCTTGTGTCCTGGCAGTGCCTTTTCCTCCTGCGTGATGTAGGTCCTCTTTGGCATTTTTTTTCAAAAGAGGCCTGTTTCATCATGTTACAAAAAACACGATTTCTAATAAGCTTAGAGATCTCCAGTGAATACTAGAATGGACTGCCCTTCTAGCATTCAGCCTGTTACTGGGTTTTCGTAACAAGTAGTCAGTATCCTGGTCCAATTATCCATTAGAATTCAATAAGAATTATTAGTGCTTCAGGATTACAACTGGTAGGCTACTAACTAAAGAAATTAAAATTTAATCATTTTATTAATAATGATGTCTAGGAGTATATTATCAAATTAAAATAAATTAATCGATTTAAACAAATTAATAATAATCACTTCTCTCATGTACAGTAGTATTGTGCTGATGGCACATATCACATTTATACATCTTAAGTACCATCTGGTACATTAACATTTAATAATACATATATACAAATAAATTTGTGTGTATGTGTGTAAGTGCTCTAAGTAGTTCGCTATGTCTCACGACTCGACTAGATTTAAACCAGTGACTGACAAAGTCCTCACATAAACTAACTTCTTGACCACCTGACAATCAGAATAGCTTGCTTGAACAATAAAACGACTGCTAAGCCGAACAACAATATAACAAGCAACTGCGACACAGAATCAGGAACAAGGAGATAATATAACGACACTAAGTAGGGACCATCTGCAGATCCTCCACAAAAGTCACCAAACTCCCATACTACTGAATCTAAGTTCAGCGTAAGAAAATCACCGACTGTGACAGTACACAGATACCAGATACCAGTGTCTATGTGACACACAACCTCAGTACAACGTCGAAAATCACTAAGTCTAGACAGTGTTCTGTGAACAGAGTTATACAGAACCAACAACAAAAAAGCGACAGAGACGATCTTCCAACAAGGGCCAATAAGGGAGAGTTAGGAATACGTCCAACCACCAAGAGAGTCTAGCCCAGACTGATTACTACAGGCGAGGTGTGAACACCCCCCTTTCCCTTGATCACGTGATAGCTCCGTGGACAGTTGCTGCCCAGCAACACCGAGAAGCCGGCAGAGTAACGAGCCATGAGTGATAATTACAATAGTTAGACAATCAAGACTTGAACTACGAGCACATAATAATAATATATGAATGTTACATCCTACCTAACAATATAACTAAGTCAAATAATAATATAAAGCAATATATTTACGATTTAGCTATTATTGCAAATATAAGCAATATAAAATTATCTGAAACGGTAATATACATTATATACATTGTGACCCATTCAGGGGTTGCAACACATCACAATTGAACACTTGTTGGGGGAAGACCTTCAGCCTCTACGTACTCCTTGAATTCCTCAGCATCACGTTTGTCTGAACTTGTAGCCTCGCCCCTTGTGGCTTAGCGCTTCTTTTTGATTATAGTAATTGTAGTCTCGCCATGCCTTACCAAACTGTGTATGCCAGTTCATTTCTTGAATATGTCAAACCAGCTTCTTCTGGCCTTAAATTCACTAACAGCAGCACTTATTCCAGGCATATTCTTTGTGAGATCCACATGCAACTGCCTTGCCTTTTCGCGAATTATCGCCTCCAAAACACTACCTCCCGTTAACCATTTTTCGTTGATCTACACCAACGACAACTTCTCAACATCGTCGATTGTCTGCAATCTCTGTTTCATTAGCACATTTACCCCCTTTTGCAACATAAGCTTCCTTGATTTCTTTTTTCTTTGCCAGGATGGAACTGATCGTTGATGCGAACTTCCCGTACATCCTGGCGAGATCGGCCATGCGTATGCCACAAGTTCGCTATGAGTTCTTTCTTGAATTTTATAATGTTTCTCACCTTCTTTATCAAAGGGCAGTCACACTCAATAAACAAGCACAAAAAACAATGGATTATTACAAAATGTTTCAGATGAATGTGCAGGGTGATGCTCACTCAACGAGAAACAAAGACAGACTGAGTCATGAACGCATGAGATGCTTTGTGTGAGCACTTGATTCCAGGAAATGAGTGGCCAAGTCACGCGGGCAGATGGACGAGTTTGGTACAGACCATTTTTAACTACGAAAACTGAGCAGATGTACGAGAACTGGGACAAAATTTTGACGAAAAAAGTCATCTAAAACCAAATCATACGAAAACTAGGACATACAAAAACCAAGGTTTGACTGTATAAGGGAAACCATACCTCACTGACTATGCTTTGGTTATACTAGATTCATCCATGGTCATTTTACGGAGGAATATCCAGCTCCACTTTTAAGGAAATGCCAGGTCATGCTGTGAGTCCATCACTTTTTTGACTGATTGTCCATATTATCAGGAAACATGATGACTAGTGCCATGTCATGCTTTTAATCCCTGTTTGAAAGTTTCACCTTTAATGCAGATTCTCTGACTTTTTAACAGTGATTGACTACTGCTCTGACACTAACTTTCTCATTCCACTTTCATACCCAATCTTGGTAATTTTCCTCGTGCCTATTTAACCCCCTAATGTTAGTTCTTTTTTTTTTATCATGCAGCATTGAATGATTCTCACTGGTTTAGAGCTTTTCTTAAACATAAAAATTTTATTTTTATGAGGACCTTGCCATGTGTTGTGTTCATGATACTTTTTTTAAATAATTTGTTAATTTTTCTCAAGTCTTCCCTATACATAACCTATGTAATGCAGGTGGGGGTAGTGTGCTTGATGTAAGTATATACACAAATTTTTGTAGGCCTCAAATTTGCCACTTGCTGTCATTTTAGGCCTTGTCTGATTTGTAATAAGAAAAAAAATTCCAAGCTGCATGGATTATGGGTAATATCACTTAGTAAACTAAGCCTCATGATGACATGCCAGCACAGCAGCCTTACTAGCAGTAAAATAAAGTGAATTATCTTCCGTTTAGACACCAGCGATAGTGAGGATTGTATGACAGATGCTGATTCCTATTCTGGTTTTGAAGGTAACCACAATGATAGTAACACATTGAGTGTGTTAAATGCAAGTCCGACAGACAATATATCGTGGCATCCACCTCAGGCATTGATACACAACAACAGAAGTGAAAAAAGGTATTTACCCACAAAAATGACTGATTGAAACAGTATTGATGAGGGCTGTGATAATTATATCTCTAAGGTGGAAAGTGACAGTGAGGCATACGAGGTCCTATTCTTCCTACACACTTTCTTTATTTTATTGTTAAGGAGCGGTGCTGTATGACCCTGGTAGGTTTAGTGCTTCCTTTTAATGATAATAATACTAATAATATGATTAAGGAGAACATGAAAGCAATATTGACCTAGATGGTACTGACAATGGTAGTGGCATTTCCAGCTGCTTCACTACCCCCACCACCACAAGCTGTCACATCAGTAATGACAACAACACCAGCCTTGACCCCATTAGCCATGACACCACCACCACCCTTGACCCCATCAGCCATGACAACACCACTAGCCTTGACCCCATCATCCATATCCATGACAACATTTGCTGTGACGACAGCACCATCCATGAGAGCAGCTCTAGCTGTGATAGCAGCATCAGCCATGAGAGCAGCACTAGCTGTGACAGCAGCACCAGCCATGAGAGCAGCACTAGCTGTGACAGCAGCACCAGCCATGAGAGCAGCATTAGCTGTGACAGCAGCACCAGCCATGAGAGCAGCACTAGCTGTAACAGTAGCACCATCTATGAGAGCAGCACTAGCTGTGATACCAGCATCAGCCATGAGAGCAGCACTAGCTGTAACAGTAGCACCATCTATGAGAGCAGCACTAGCTGTGATACTAGCATCAGCCATGAGAGCAGCACTAGCTGTGACAGCAGCACCAACCATGAGAGCAGCACTAGCTGTGACAGTAGTTCCAGCCATGACAGCAGCACTAGCTGTGACAGTAGTACCAGCCATGAGAGCAGTACTAGTTGTGACAGCAGCACCAGCCATGAGAGCAACATTAGCCGGGACAGTAGCACTAGCCATGAGAGTGACATTAGATGTGACACCAGCACCAGCCATGACAGCAGCATTTGCCTGACCAACAACACCAAACATCATGCAACCACCAGCAAATAGGGAGGATGCATCATTTGTACCAGTTGTGTTAATTTTGATGAATGAAGAGTAGACATCAGCCTAATCATCCACAAACCGATGATTATTTCTTATTATACTTTGATGATAAACCAGTGAATATAATAGTGACACAAACAAACAAGTATTACTAGTACACAATTGTTAATACAGCTATTTCAATGAAATCATACCTGCAAGAGTGGAGACATACTGGTATTGCAGAAATATACATTTTTATAACTTATGCTAATGCCACATGTTCATAAAACCAAAATGTCATAATGTTGGAGCACAGATCAACTGGTATCAACGTCAGCTTTCAGGAAAATTACATCAGTTGATCTCTTTCTGTTGTTATTGCAGATTTTTCATTTCTGTGATAAAAGTAATCCCCAGAGAGATGATTTGCTCTGTAAAATCAGAGAAATGGTAATGTATTTGAAAAACAAATTTAGTGATTTCTTTTATCCATTCAAACATTTTTGTAGATGAATCTTTGATTTTATTCAAAGACAGGCTTTCCTTCAAGCAATGCATTCCCAGCAAAAGATATCAGTTTTGGTATCAAACTACTTGTTATGCGTGATTGTGCAGTAGGTCTAGTACTAGATGTCATTGTGTATACAGGCAGGAAAATATTGAAAAATCTGTTAGGATTCTGGTGCTGTTGTCATGAGAATGGAGGAAACATACCTTAGCAAGGGGCATTTCATATTTACTGACAATTGGCACACAAGCCCAACACTGATTTTCTTAGGGTAAACAGAACAGAAGTGTGTAGGACAGTGAGAGAAACTATGAAGAATATGCCAGTATTCAAAATACATTTTGATAGAAATGAGGTGTTACATATTTCATACCAGTGATATCATGGCATTTTGCTTGCATAAGAGATTGACATTGTTGAAAGCCCTACAGAGGCATAATTTGAAACTAACTGGAAAGGTGGCTAGAGAGACCAGTGAACCTATTGAGAAATCGCTCACAATCATGCATTTGGTAGACAAATATGACATGCAGATTAGATCTGTCAAATGTGTCAGAAAAAAGTTGCAGATGGTAGTGTATCTGAAATTGTTTTTCATCTGTTGCTGTTACAGTGCTAAATGCATATAATGTTTTCCTTGCAAAAAATGGAAAGAAACTCAAACTAGTTAATCTCCATTTATTTTTAATAAGACATATAATAGAAACCTACCAGGGTCACCAACAAAAATCACAAAGTGATCCATTTCGGCCAAAGGCTGGTCCACACTTCACTGACAAGAAGAAACAAGCACACAAATACACAATATTGTTATAAGTTGTGTGATATTCCATTGTGCCTTATTCCATGTTTCAAGGAATACCACACCTTGAAATAACTGTAATGTAAGTACATATATTTACCTGTACATAATGTTTGAACACAAAAAGTATCCATACAAATAAGTTTATTGTGATCGTGAATATGGTGCTATGTGCTGCTTAGAATATTTTAAGCATTAAAAAATGAAATAAACTCTACAGTCATTAGAATATATTGTATTTAGTGTTATACACTAAAAAATGGAGAAATATGCATATTTGCATAAGAAATGAAAAAAAAAAAACATAAATATTTCTTGGCAGCATCACGACAATGTTGCCAACAGCACGTCAGTTTATGACAGCTTCAACAGAGCAAAAATGGTATGTTATTATCAGATTTTTTTTTTTTCATCTTGTTCTATTCAGAAAAAAATATGCTCTTTCAATCCATAAGAAAACATTTTTTTTTTTTAATTTTATCACACCACAAACATTTTTTTTTATTTCTGGGTATGTTACAGTTAGAGAGTTAAAAAATGATGCAGACAAATAAAAATCATTCATTAGTCAGCCTATCATGTACAAATTATAGCAGAATCATAATGTATGTTTTATTTGTATTCCTGAACAAATTTACATACAGCATATCTCCATTATGGCTTCTTTTCTGCTCAGAAGTGATCAGTGTTTTGTCTTAGATGATATATTATGTCTTCCAGCATTTTCTCATATTAAGGATTTAGTGTTCTTTGTAAATATAATAATTCTAGTTTCAGGACCATTTATAAACTTGGAAAATACAATAAGAGCTTTCATTTGCGAGAACTAATGAAGACCTGTGGCCAGTGATCCCATTGTAATGTAACAGTAAAGAGTTTCCTACATAGAAACTAACAAACATTCTCCCATTATACACCAATAATTTATGTAGTTTAGGATATTTATGTAATTTTCTAATAAGCTTAACGTGTAAATGAGATGAGATGCTTAACTCATTTTGATTATCACTGATAAATAAGGTAAACACAATAAACAGAAGTGATATAATTGACTACAAAAGCCAAGTACTGTAACACTTTATAAAAGTAATTCTGTAAAATTTTGGAAAATAATTATAAAGCAACATTTATACTAAGCAGCAGGCATGTGTGAGCATGTTAGATAGGAGTGAATGGAGATGAATGTTTCTTGGGACCTGATGAGCTGTTGGAGCATGAGCAGGGTAATATTTTGTCAAGGGATTCAGGGAAACTGGTTAGCCAGACTTGAGTCCTGGAGGTGGGAAATACAATGCCTGCACTCTAAAGGAGTGGTTTGGGATATTGGCTGTTTGGAGTGACATCTAAATTATCATATCTGGGTACCTCTGCAAAGACAGTGATATTGTGTGAATGATGGTGAAAGTGTTTCTTTTTTGGGGGTCACCCTGCCTCAGTGGGAGATGGCCATTGTATTGAAAAAAAAATATGCTAAAGTAATTATTGAAGAATAATTCTTAGAAGTCACTTTCTCCTATATTATAAATAATTTTAAGAATGACTTCTATACAGTGGAACCTCGGTTTTCATATGCCCTAGTTTGTACGTAAAACTATAGTTACTGTATTCTCTATAAAATGTATTTTTTGTTAATATTTTTGGGTGTCTGGCCTTGTGGCTTAGCGCTTCTTTTTGATTATAATAATAATTTGGGTGTCTGGAACGGAACAAAGTAATCCTTTCCAGACACCCAAAAAATACATTTTATAGAGTATAACTATAGTTTTACATACACACTAGGGCATATGAAAACCGAGGTTCCACTGTACATAATATACATAGTTCCTATTTTCAAAGCACCATTAATGATGGCCATAACTTCTCTCATATTTATTATGTAAATATCATTTAAAACTACTAAAATTGCAAAAGAATACAGCAGCATTCTTAATATAGGACTGTAATGAGAAAATGTTGCAGTGTGATTAAAAATGTATAATAAAAGAAATTACTGTATTGATAATTGAGGCATAGGGAGGGGGATCCCTTGATGCTGGTGAAGGGCTCTTGATCCAAGGAATTGTAACTACCTGCCAAATTTGGATCAACTCTGATTACCTCCTATTTCCCAGGTACTTTCCCAAGAATATAACAATTATAAGTGTGGCTTTATCAATAAAACAGTAAGGGTGAAAACATCTGAATGTTGGTAAAAAAAAGAAAATGCTTTTCAATGGTTTATGCCTGTTAAAGGAGTATATTAAAAATAATTCTTTTAACACAAATAGTATTTTAAGGCACGTTTTTACCTTACAGTAGTTAACCCTCTCTTATCCCCTGCCTCTGATCAAATCTAAATGCCTGTACCCTCCATCTCTTCATTTGGCCTCATTAGTAGGAAAATATCCCTGTTCTAGCATAGCTTCCATTGATAATGGTACAGTTGTTGTGACATGCAACACAATGGAAATTGGACCACCTTAGGGCATGTCAATTGACACTGGTGAGACACTGTTATAAGTACTACTGGAGATTGCTTAACACTTAAACTGTCCAAACGTAGATCTACGTTCACCTGCATGGCGCTCTGAATATTTTGAAAAATAAAAAAAAAAATTTTGTTTTTAAATTAAAGAGGGCAATTTTCTTTGTGGTATAAGACCAAAAAAAAAATTTAGGACCAGTACTTACCGAGATATAAGACGGTGAAGGTGGGTCTGGATGCTCACCTGATGGCAACATCCAGTCCTGCCGCTTGCAGAAGTGTTACCGATTTACCTTTTTTTCTTGTTTTTATTTTAATTTATATAATTTTTATGTTCTGATAATTACAATTTATAATAGTTCTTGTGATTTCATAGCCAATCTTTGTTCTGACACTAATATTATGTATTGAAATAGTACTCAAATTGTAACAATCACACTGACAGGTGAATATTTTCACCTGCCCTGGTCATTTACTATTGTCTAGAAATATATACAAAGTATTTATAGGTCCCAGCAATGTTTTAGACATGCTGGAGTATGAAACTCCTTGAAGCATCATGTTATGACAAGGGTCAGAATGTGCCCTGCTGGAGGGAACCTTGCCTTTATATGTTTTTACTCTTGTACACAAATATGTCTTTGTATGTCTGTCTATCAGTCTGTCTGTCTGCCTAGCTCTGCTTATCTGTCTGTCCAGTTCAGCTTATCTGTCTTTCTGTCTTGTGTGTGTGCCTGGAGTATAATATGAACTCCTTGAATAATGGTGTTATGACAAGCGTCAGATAAGTGACATTTGATGAATGTGCGCTGCTGGAGGGGGGAACCTTGCCTTTATATGTTTTTACTCTTCCACACAAACATGTCTTTGTATGTCTGTCTATCAGTCTATCTGTCTGCCTGTCTAGCTATCTGCCTGTCTATCTGCCTAGCTCTGCTTATCTGTCTGTCCACCTGTGTGTGTCTGTCTTTCCATCTGCTTGTCTCTGTCTCAGGGAGTGGCTAGTAAACCTGTTGGTTTGTGGTGTATGTGCTGCTCCCTGATTGCTGAGCAAGTGACACTGCTATTATTTGCGTCATGTTTATTTATGTCTTATATCTACAAACACTGTATAGCACTTGGCCTGGAATTTTTGGGTTATCCTAGGTAATTTACATTATGTATAATTGTATTTTTGAGTACATGTGAGGGACAGAGATACAAATAGACAGTGATATAGACAGAGATATAGATAGAGATATAGACAGATACAGACAGAGGCAGCCAAAACCAGCCAGCTAGCCAGCCGAATACATAAGAACATAAGAAAGAAGGAACACTGCAGCAGGCCTACTGGCCCATGCAAGGCAGGTTCATCTCACCCTCCGGCTTAGACCAATGACCCACCTAGTAGGTCACATCCACTGAAAGAAGGAGCATGACATCTGACCCAGTAGCACAAGCTAGTCAGGTCCAATTCACACCCACCCACACCCACTCATGCATTTATCTAACCTATTTTTACTTTCCTCTTAAAATGTGAATGTTAATATGACATGACATCAGTGAATCACTGGTGTTTGCCATGCTATTTGCTCTAGCTGGCGCTCAGTTGAACTGGTGCTCCCACAAGGTACTAAGTAGTCCCCGATATTTTTCATAGTGCGCACACTGAGTGCACAGACCCATTCTTTCATGTCTAGGTGACTCAGGCCTATCGCACCAAATTTGAAGGAATGAAAAATAAAATGTTGATCTACGTTTGGAGCCCACCGCACGTGAACGTATATCTACGTGTGGACAGTTTAAGGGTTAATGATCCTGGAGTGGCAGGTGAAGGTGTATAACTTTGTCATTCCTGCTAGTTTGCCACTGCCATTATTAGCTCATCAATGTTTGTACAAGATATTTGTATCCAGAATATTCTTAGTCCATATATATGTTACTAAATGCTAAATGCTAGGGTGTTGGGGAGAGGGGTGGGATTAAATTATGCAGATTTAAAAACAAAATGAAAATTGACATTTACTTTTTGCTGATGATACTGTGCTTTTGGGCGATTCTGAAGAGAAGTTGCAAAGGTTAGTGGACGAGTTTGGGAGGGTGTGTAAAGGTAGAAACTTAAAAGTGAACATGGATAAGAGTAAGGCAATGAGGGTATCAAATAATTTAGACAAGGAAAAATTGGAAGGAGGGAATATGGAAGAAGTGAATGCGTTCAGATATTTGAAAGTAGACTTGTTGGCGGATGGGTTTATGAAGGACGAGGTAAACCATGGAATTGATGAAGGAATAAATGGTGGGTGGTGCATTGAGGTATCTGTGGAGGCAAAGAAGGGAATGTATGAGAGTACGTATTGTGGTACCAACACTTATATGGGTGTGAGCATGGGTTGTGAATGTTGCAGCAAGGAGGAAGCTGGAGGCAGTGGAGATGTTATGTCTAAGGGGTAAAAGAGGTTTTTGCATACAAGGGGCTTTGATATACAAGAGGCATAGGTGAGCATGTTAGATGGGAGTGTTGATGAATGATTTTTGGGACTTGACAAACTGTTAAAGTGTGAGCTGGTAATATTTTGTGAAGGGATTCAGGGAAACCAGTTAGCCTGACCCGAGTCTTGGAGGTGGGAAGTATAATGCCTGACCTTTAAAGGAGGGATTTGGGTTATTTGTTGTTTGGAGTGACATCTGAACTGTCATATCTGCACACTTCTGCAAAGACAGTGATTGTGTGTGAATGATGGTTAAAATGTTTTTTGGGTCACCCTGTCTTGGTGGGAGATGGCCAGCATGTTGAAAAAAAATTTACTAATGGTAGCTCAATATAATTTCATATCCCTACATTAATAAAAAAAATTGCATTACTATATGTACTTTCAAAAATAATATTCTTTGCTAATAATGATCTTAAGAAAAATTTATGCCAGTAATGGAAACCTTATGGTCTTTTATGAGGAAAGAAATAAAGGGGTTTCACATAAGTAGCTTTAATTTTTGGGAAAAATTACATTTATTGGGAAGCAATTGGGAGAGTGTGCAATGCAGCAGAAGTGTTAAATATGGTAGCTGTTGTGCCATGAATGTGATATATTTATTGTATCATTTAAAAGTAATATTGTATATAAGAATGTAATTTTTATTTCAACATACTATCAACCCACTGCTAATAAATATTTTTAAATTACAATACTGTACAGTGTTTAAATATGGTTCACTTAATTTTATATATTTTGCTGTAGAACTAAAGCAGCTCTTACAATTATTTATTGGTTTTTGGTTCTATTAGAAGATGAATAATTTATGTAGGAATAAGAATTGATTTCAGTTTTGGCCTTCCCTGGAATTTATGTACATACATATACATACGCATATATTTATCCTTATGACTGCAGTACTATACAGTATCAGCCAACAGGGTATGGAAAAATCCATACCCTGTTGGCTGTTGCTACAAGTAGGAAGTGTATTCATTTTCAGTCATCTGGGGTGCCACTGAAGGAATTTTGATCCAAGGAATTGGAGCTACAATTCTCATTGTTGGATGAGTTTTTATTACCTCTCATGCAACCAGGCAGGTTTAACACATTCCCATGAATGTAAGAATAATAGAAATAAAAACTAAACAGTACTAATGATTGTAAACACCATGTGCCTGTTGGACATATGAAGGGGGCTCTTAATTCAAAGCACTGGAATTACCCTTTCCTTCCTTGGATAAAGCCTGAATGCCACCCATTCCCTAAGGCTCTTCCTTCAAGGGAAGGGGGAATCCCTTGGCATGGTAAAGGGCTCTTGATTTGAAAAATTAAATCTCTTGTTTCTTTGGATTAAATCTCAATAACCCCCCATCCCCCTTCACCATCTTTCTCCATTTGCAGACATTTCTCCCTTGCTAATTTTAGCTTCTAGACAGAGGGAACAGGGATCATTAGCCATCCCATTCCATTAGTGACCATGGTGGTAGTGCTGTTTGCTGTGGGAATTTGATTGTCAGGATATGCCATGCCACCTTCCAGGAGCCCCAGTGGATGGTCTCATGTATCCTTGGGTGATGGGAGTATTTCTGGAGGCTGTATTGGTTATGGGAGGTTGGAGCCAGAGATATGACTTGGCATGTTGCTAGCTGACCACCTCTGTTGTTGACTGAGCCTGGCTCAGTTAGTGAGGGATGTGCCATCCTGGTGGTACTGGTATACCAGGTAGAGTAAGGAGCAGTTATGCAGTATCAATACAACTTGTCATAACAAGGGAGGGAGATGTATTGTTTCTGTTTCTCCTCTGAGCTGTCTGTTCCTCCCCCTTTTTTTTTCACAAAAAAAAAAAAAACTAAACAAAACATTAATTCAGGAATAGTCTAGTTCATGTTTTGCTTCTTTCTAGGCCCCATACCCTTGTGATATCCTAACTGACCCTGGTATGCCCATGGACCTTCCTTCAAACCCAGTACCACTTTTGGGCAAGACCTTGTTACCCAACTGGTACCAGCATTCCAGTTGACCCTTTTAATACTTCTGACCTTTGCTCTACTTTGACTATGCTTCTGGCTTCTTCCTCAGTGGTGCATCAATTTTCACATCATTCACACGTCATAGGACAGACTGACTCAATGCCATTATCCAAACCTTAACCTATACTTGACAATCCATACACTAGTAAAGACATTTCATTTCACCCCAGAACCTCCCAGTCACCAAAGTGGAAACTTATGTCTGCCTTGCCTAGGGCTGGAGACATTATTCTAACAACATTGCTAAACTAACCTTTGCCAGGCAGGAGCATCCAGTTTCCATTCATATAGTGAACCAATGTTTACAGGTGTGAGAGTTGCTCCCTACACCTCCCTGTTCCTGCCCCCCCACCCCCCACTTGCCTTAACTGTAGTGAAGTTCACCCGTTTATTCTTGTTAATGCCCTGTTTAACTGAAAGAACATGAAATCTGTTGTCTCGAGGAGAAGCCTTTCATACGCTATGGCAGTAGCTCGACTCCTACTTCAGAGTGGCTCAGCACCGTCAACTCCCTTCTCCACAGTCATCCTGTGTTCAATCCTTATGTAGCCCTCACCTCTGACATTCCCATGTCTTTGCCTTCTCCTATTCTTCCTACTTCGTCTTCCATTTCACTTTTTTCCTCCCTTACAGTTTCCTTTGGCTAGGCCCTCATCTCTTCCTTCAAAACCTCAAAAACCCACAACCAAAACTCCTTTCCAACTTCTTTCTTCTCCTCACTATGGTACTAAAATTTTGACGTACGTAGTATATAGTACATGAGTATGACTTTATATACAACGTGAGAATAGTCATTAGACAAGACCACATGAATGTTAATCAATGATGATGGTTCTTGGAAGTGAGGATAAAATGAGAAAGTTTAGTTTTTACAACCTTGAATTTTGTTTGTGGTAGTGATGATGTGGGCATCAGGAACTAGTCATACTGCACCTTGTTATTGTGTATTCTTTTATTCATAAATAATCTGAGAAAAAAAGATACCAGTACATTTAATAAATTCTGAAACTTCATGTTACTTTTCTAACAATAATAAAAAAAACAATGATTTGGAAAATAAATAAAATCAATTTTTCAAGCCAATTTTTTTATGCTTTCCTTTTAAGTAAATTTATTATCATGTAACTATTTTGAAAAGCTAGATCTTGTGTAAGTACAGGTCGGCCATCACTAATCTGGCATCATTGGAACCTGTAGTGTGCCAGATTAGTGAGTCTGCCGGATTACAGAGTGGTTAGGTTATTTTTTTTTTTTTTTTATTATCACACCGGCCGATTCCCACCAAGGCAGGGTGGCCCGAAAAAGAAAAACTTTCACCATCATTCACTCCATCACTGTCTTGCCAGAAGGGTGCTTTACACTACAGTTTTTAAACTGCAACATTAACACCCCTCCTTCAGAGTGCAGGCACTGTACTTCCCATCTCCAGGACTCAAGTCCGGCCTGCCGGTTTCCCTGAATCCCTTCATAAATGTTACTTTGCTCACACTCCAACAGCACGTCAAGTATTAAAAACCATTTGTCTCCATTCACTCCTATCAAACACGCTCACGCATGCCTGCTGGAAGTCCAAGCCCCTCGCACACAAAACCTCCTTTACCCCCTCCCTCCAACCCTTCCTAGGCCGACCCCTACCCCGCCTTCCTTCCACTACAGACTGATACACTCTTGAAGTCATTCTGTTTCGCTCCATTCTCTCTACATGTCCGAACCACCTCAACAACCCTTCCTCAGCCCTCTGGACAACAGTTTTGGTAATCCTGCACCTCCTCCTAACTTCCAAACTACGAATTCTCTGCATTATATTCACACCACACATTGCCCTCAGACATGACATCTCCACTGCCTCCAGCCTTCTCCTCGCTGCAACATTCATCACCCACGCTTCACACCCATATAAGAGCATTGGTAAAAACTATACTCTCATACATTCCCCTCTTTGCCTCCAAGGACAAAGTTCTTTGTCTCCACAGACTCCTAAGTGCACCACTCACTCTTTTTCCCTCATCAATTCTATGATTCACCTCATCTTTCATAGACCCATCCGCTGACACGTTCCACTCCCAAATATCTGAATACGTTCACCTCCTCCATACTCTCTCCCTCCAATCTGATATTCAATCTTTCATCACCTAATCTTTTTGTTATCCTCATAACCTTACTCTTTCCTGTATTCACCTTTAATTTTCTTCTTTTGCACACCCTACCAAATTCATCCACCAATCTCTGCAACTTCTCTTCAGAATCTCCCAAGAGCACAGTGTCATCAGCAAAGAGCAGCTGTGACAACTCCCACTTTGTGTGTGATTCTTTATCTTTTAACTCCACGCCTCTTGCCAAGACCCTCGCATTTACTTCTCTTACAACCCCATCTATAAATATATTAAACAACCACGGTGACATCACACATCCTTGTCTAAGGCCTACTTTTACTGGGAAAAAATTTCCCTCTTTCCTACATACTCTAACTTGAGCCTCACTATCCTCGTAAAAACTCTTCACTGCTTTCAGTAACCTACCTCCTACACCATACACTTGCAACATCTGCCACATTGCCCCCCTATCCACCCTGTCATACGCCTTTTCCAAATCCATAAATGCCACAAAGACCTCTTTAGCCTTATCTAAATACTGTTCACTTATATGTTTCACTGTAAACACCTGGTCCACACACCCCCTACCTTTCCTAAAGCCTCCTTGTTCATCTGCTATCCTATTCTCCGTCTTACTCTTAATTCTTTCAATTATAACTCTACCATACACTTTACCAGGTACACTCAACAGACTTATCCCCCTATAATTTTTGCACTCTCTTTTATCCCCTTTGCCTTTATACAAAGGAACTATGCATGCTCTCTGCCAATCCCTAGGTACCTTACCCTCTTCCATACATTTATTAAATAATTGCACCAACCACTCCAAAACTATATCCCCACCTGCTTTTAACATTTCTATCTTTATCCCATCAATCCCGGCTGCCTTGCCCCCTTTCATTTTACCTACTGCCTCACGAACTTCCCCCATACTCACAACTGGCTCTTCCTCACTCCTACAAGATGTTATTCCTCCTTGCCCTATACACGAAATCACAGCTTCCCTATCTTCATCAACATTTAACAATTCCTCAAAATATTCCTTCCATCTTCCCAATACCTCTAACTCTCCATTTAATAACTCTCCTCTCCTATTTTTAACTGACAAATCCATTTGTTCTCTAGGCTTTCTTAACTTGTTAATCTCACTCCAAAACTTTTTCTTATTTTCAACAAAATTTGTTGATAACATCTCACCCACTCTCTCATTTGCTCTCTTTTTACATTGCTTCACCACTCTCTTAACTTCTCTCTTTTTCTCCATATACTCTTCCCTCCTTGCATCACTTCTACTTTGTAAAAACTTCTCATATGCTAACTTTTTCTCCCTTACTACTCTCTTTACATCATCATTCCACCAATCGCTCCTCTTCCCTCCTGCACCCACTTTCCTGTAACCACAAACTTCTGCTGAACACTCTAACACTACATTTTTAAACCTACCCCATACCTCTTCGACCCCATTGCCTATGCTCTCATTAGCCCATCTATCCTCCAATAGCTGTTTATATCTTACCCTAACTGCCTCCTCTTTTAGTTTATAAACCTTCACCTCTCTCTTCCCTGATGCTTCTATTCTCCTTGTATCCC